TGGCACATTTGAAAGGATGTGTGACAAAGTCTCTGAAAAAAGAAACACCACCCAGACCTCCTCAGGGAGGGCTTGGAATTAATCTTCATCCTGTGGCCTTCGTCCCAAAGGAATCTCCCTCCATCCCCTCAGGCCACTTCCCTTTCTCCCCTCCTAAGTCTCCTTTCTGCCCTGCCAGCTAAGTCCTGGCCCTGGCTCCTTTCCCTGCCCCCTTCTCCACCTCACTGCCTGCTCCTGTACCTGAGCACCAGCATTCCATTCCTCCCTTCCCTCTATTCTCCTACCCAACTGCTCCTTCGAGAGAACAAACACAAGACCCCGTCAGAACAGGCCAAAAAGACAAGTGAACTTTCCTTTGCACCCGGCCTCCTCTGAAGGCCTTGTTCCGCTGTGCAGCCTTGGCAAAAAGACTGGAATCCTTAAATAATGAAGTATTTAAAGAACAGCAGCCTCGTTTCTACACAGAAGCGACTTTTCAGCCACACAGCAGAGTTCTGTATTTCCTATTTCCCAACACTCCAGAGCACACTTGTAATGACTACCCTAAGTTTTCCCACTCAACTTTTTTGGGAACTTCAAACCATACCCACAATACTCCTATGTCTACCTCTACACACTCTCTCTCTCTCTCTCTCTCTCTCTCTCTCTCACACACACACACACACACACACTCCCTTCCCTTTCCCAAGAGTGAGCTGGTTTAAGGTACAGGGGAAATAGAGCGCCCCAGGATACACAATGGGGCTACTGTGCTGAAAGGCGGGGCTCCGGTGGGAGGGGGAGGAGTAAGGATATAAATAGAACACAGGGGGGACCTTCCCCCCCTCTACCTCACTGATCTTCGTTCCTGGCCTCAGGGCCACTAGAAACTCCACACCTTGGGGCTCTTTCAACCTGAGAGGACACAGGACGGGGCAAACGGCCTGGTGCTCTGGGGGAAAGAAGACTCCGAGGGCACCAGCCAGGCAGCTCAGCTCCCCAGGCGGGAGAGGAAACCCTGGCTATGCTGGGGAGCAGCCCACCAGGTTAGGGATGGAAGCAGCACATTAGAAGGTGGGTAGGGACCCCAGTCCTCTTTTCTCACCAAAAGATTCTTACTTCTTTCTGGTTGGAAAATCTAAAACAGGTCCTTCCTGTTTGATTTTCTAATCTAAGCTTTAAGGAAAACAATGGCAACAAAACCCACTGCACATCAGACTTCATACAATTCACTCCATAAAAGAACCAGGCAGCCGGGCGCTGGTGGCTCACGCCTGTAATCCTAGCTACTCAGGAGGCTGAGATCTGAGGATCACGGTTCAAAGCCAGCCCGGGCAGGAGAGACCGTGAGACTCCTATCTCCAATAAACCACCAGAAAACCGGAAGTGGCGCTGTAGCTCAAATGGTAGAGCGCTCGCCTTGAGCTGAAGAGCTGAGGGACAGCGCCCAGGCCCGGAGTTCAAGCCCCACGGCCGACAAAAAAAAAAAAAAAAGAACCAGGCAAAGCTCCACAGCCAGGGCAATAGGAAGGAGACTAGCAGGAGTCATGGCCTCTGGGCTGGGGCGGGGGGGGGGGGGCGCCGCTACTTCCCTACTCTGGAAGGGACACTTGTCAAAAAGAACATGCTCTGGAGTAGATGCAAATGAAATGCTGTTAGCAACTCTCAGGAAGAACGGGAAGGGAAGCATTAATGCATTCTAGGAAGCTATTCCATCTGAATATGTTTTAAATTCTACCAGTACCAATACAGGCTCCTAGGAACACATAATACCAGCGACCAGGGAGGCTGAGATTGGGAGGGTGCAGGGTTCAGCGCACCCAGGCAGAAAAAGTTGATTAGAGAATCCATCTCGGCTGTCATCCCAGCTACAGTGAAATGTGGGATGGCACCAGCAGGAGGATGACAGTCCAGGGCAGCCCCGGCATAAGCTAGATCCTATCTCAAAAAGTAACCAATACAAGCCGGGCGCCAGTGGCTCAGGCCTGTAATCCTAGTTACTTAGGAGGCTGAGAGCTGAGGATTGTGATTCAAATCCAGACCGGGTAGGAAAGTCCGTGAGACTCTTATCTCCAATAAACCACTAGAAAACCAAAAGTGGCGTTGTGGCTCAAGCAGTAGAGCACTCACCTTGAGCTGAAGAGTTCAGGGACAGAGCCCAAGCCCAGAGTTCAAGCCCCACAACCAACCAAAAACAAAAAAAAAGTAACCAATACATAGTCATTTGAAGTAATGGAAATCCTCTGTATCATAACTATGGTTGTTAAATGTTTGCTAATTTTACTGAAAATAAACTTACAATGTGGACATTAAAAAATAATAACAACACTGGTCAAGGCAATGTGGTATAGTCCTTAAAAAGAAAAAAAGGGCTGGGAATGTGGCTTAGTGGTAGAGTGCTTGCTTAGCATGCATGAAGCCCTGGGTTCAATTCCTCAGTACCACATAAACAGAAAAAGCTGGAAGTGGTGCTGTGGCATAAGTGGCAGAACGTTAGCCATGAGCGAAAGAAGCTCAGAGAGAATGCGAGTTTAAGCCCCAAATCCCTTGGAAATGGCACTGTGGGATTCTGGATGAAGGGGGAGCCTCTACCTAGCAAGCCTGAGGCAGAACCCCAAGTTAAAATGTGTAAGACAAAGTAATAAGAAACTTTACTAACAGACAGCCTAAGGATGGGACTAGCAAGCTTGAAGTAATACCCTGTGCTAAATTCCTGTAAAATAAAGAGATGAATAAATATATAAACTATAAAGAAAATTGCTCTGGGGTTGTGGGAGGATATGAAAAGCAAGCCTGAGCTGACAAGTCATGTCAAACCTTAGTACCAAATATAAATAAATAAAACAGCCAACACAAATAGAGCTGGCAGTGTGGCTGAAGTGCTGAGACCCGAGGAGGTACAAAGCCCTAAGTTCAAACCATAGTATCACCTAAGACAGACAAACAAATGAGCAGTGATAGAAGAGGCCAGGACCTGACAAACAAACAAACAAATGGGCAGTGATAGGAAAGCCAGGATCTGACAAACAAACAAATGAGCAGTGATAGGAAAGCCAGGTCTGAGGTTCTTTTTTCTAATCCTCAGGTCTCCTGGACAATCCCTGCTGCTCCACAGAGCATGAGATGGTCTCTCAGACCATCTGCATCTTGCAAATTCTTCCAAGAGCGGAAGTTCCGAAGTGGCAGAGGACTTAGCATTTCTGTCCCCATACAAACTCCGAGTGAGAAATATCCCATGTTCTAACAACATACATTCATTTCTTGCTATCTAAAAATTGTACTTAGCGGGGTCTCAGGACATAGCTCAGTGGAAGAGCACCTGCTTGATATGCTCAAGGCTCTGTGTGCAATCCCCAGCACCAGTAAAACGACCATAACAAACTGTCAGGTAAATGTTACTGTCACTGATCCTCATCTAAATCACAACAGTTCCAGTACCTGATTTCTAAAACGGCTTCTGCTCAGAGAGGCAGCCTAGATGCCACAGCCCAGACCACAGGAGTGCCCCCTGGAAGGGAAGAAGATGGAACCAGGGAAGGGGCACAAAGGGAATTCCAACTGGAGCTGTCATTTTATTTAGAGGCAAAAGGGAAGACCTGAAGGATTAGCAGGTGTTAGTTCTGAGGGGGATGAATGGTAATGTACCTCAGTGACAGAACACTGCTAGCATGTGCTAGGCTTTGGGTTCAATCCCCAGCATCACCACAAAAAAAAAAAAAAGTTGGGATATAAGAATGTTGCGTTAGCCGGGCACTGGCGGCTCACGCCTGTAATCCTAGCTACTCAGGAGGCTGAGATCTGAGGACTGAGGTCCAAAGCCAGCCCAGGCAGGAAAGCCCATAAGACTCTTATCGCCAATTAACCACCAGAAGACCGGAAGTAGCGCAGTGGCTCAAGTGGTAGAAAGCTCACCTTGAGCCAAAGGGCTGAGGGACAGCGCCCAGGCCCAGAGTTTGAACCCCACAACCGACAACAACAAAAAAGAATGTTGTGTTGTTTCCTGGATGTTCTTATAGCATTTTAAGACTTTTCAGAATTAAAAAAAAAAAAAAACATTCTTGTTTATTAGCCCCATTTAAAATGTCCCTGATTTTCAATGAACTTTTGATGACAACACCTTTTCATTATCCCTCACTAGCCCCACTCTCCAAAGCTCACCTCCAGAGAACCTGATCTGTAATTACACCTATCTGCTCTGGGAACGTGCCAAAGAATATATGCACTGGAACAAAAGGAATTACTGATGGCAAACTGACACCCTAAAATTAAAGACCACGAGGTCCTGAGATACCCAACAAAAACAGCAGCATGCATTTACTTCACAAGATGGGTGCTGCCCTTGGTTAGGCGTCTCTGAGTGTTGTGGGATGGACAGTGTCCAGTAGCCACAGCAGTACCCTCACGAACTTCCCAGACCCAGACCACTCCACACGTCCCAGGGGAGGGGACACAATTCACACAGAACTCAAACCCAATGACAGATCAGGAGAATATTAAGATCAAGAACTTAAAACCTGGGGCTGGGAAGGTGGCTCAGTGGTAGAGCGCTTGCCTTGCATGCCTGAGGCCCTGGATTCGATTCCTCAGCACCACATAAGCATAAAAAAAAAAAAAAGAAAAGAAAAAAGCCGGAAGTGGCACTGTGGCTCAAGTGGTAGGGCGCTAGCCTTGAGCTGAAGAGCTGAGGGACAGCGCCCAGGCCCAGAGTTCAGGCCCCAGGACCAGACTCCCCCCCAAAAAAAGAAAGAAAAAGAACTTAAAACCCTAAAAATGCTATTTCTAACAGACAGCTGGCAGTACCCAAAATATGTACCAGAGCGTGAAATGGAACAGCACAAAAGTGGAAATGATTCAGTATACTGTGTCTCGTGACAAAGGGGAAACTTGCTCCCAAGAATAGACACTTTACCTATACTGACAGCACAGCCTCCCAGGCTCACCTGCAACAGTCCCAGGGCAATCTTTACCAGTGTTTTCACAGCAGTCCCTCCCAATCTTCCCTCCAGACAGCCCATCTTTACCTCTTTGCTTCTTCCAAATGACAAAGGTACTCATAAGCCACATTCTGTCGCCTCCTCTCATCCATCTCCTCTGCAGTGAGTCTCTCATTATCCAGGACAGCTGGAACATGAAAGATTGTAAGACCAGGGTTGAAGCCCAGTGCCAGTAGCTCACAACTATAACCCCAACTACTCTGGATGCTGAGATCTGAGGATCTTAGTTGAAAACAGCTGAGATAGGTAAGTCTTTCTTGCCAAAACAACCAGAAATGGAGTTGTGGCTTAAGTAAAGCGACAGAGTGCTATCCTTGAGCAGAAGCAGCTCAGGGACAGCACCCAGGCCATGAGTTCAAGTCCTAGGAATGATGGGGGGGGGGGGACCAGAATCTGTAACCTTCCTCATGGACAAAAGAATACCACAGCCATCAGATTCCACCCATCAAATCACCCAGAAAGTCAGGGCACTAGCGGATGTGTGGATAGCTAGAGACAATGATTTTTGTAAAGCAAAAACTATGGGGTTTCAACTATACTCAGCTTGTTCTTCATAAAAATGTATGGTAATAGGAATGTGTACAAAATTTTTTGCACAAAATTTTGTACCTTCAACATATACTATCTCAAGAGTTTGCCCTAAATGTGTCACTGTCAGAATCTTTGTAAATACAGATCAGATCAATCCTCCTTCTTTATTAATAACCAAAGCCAGCAGCTGCTGAAAGATAACTGGTAGTAACTGCACTAAGCAGTACTGTGCATTCTCTTACTAAAGCCCACAACAATGTAGTGATTAGCACTTTTATTTTACGGATGAGGAAATTGAAGCTTAGCCCTATGGCTATAACAGGAGGGACCTGGATTCACGAGGTAGTGTGAAGCCTGTGGGCTTAACCTAAAAGCAATGGAGTTCAGTCACCCAAGGTGTGGAATAAAATCCCTAACTCCATTTGAAAGCGCTCCAGGTTTCCCAGTCTGGCCTCGCCTTCTTTAGGAAATACTTCTTAACCTCTTTCCTGGTCCTTCCCGCTCTCCCTCGCACCCGCTCCCCCGCCCCCACACCCCAAACCACAACAGCACCCCTGGACATTAGCATCCCAGTTCCCCGTCCTCCTTCCCGAGTCCTGACGGCCTGGGCTCCAGGGACGGCGGAGCTCGGTGCCCGCGTCCCCGCGCCCGCGTCCCCGCGCCCGCCGGCCTCGCCCACCCACCCGCTCCGCCATCGCGCCCGAAGCTGTACACCTGTCGCTCCTCGGATGGGAAATGCCTGGAAGGTCGAGCTTCGTCCTTCTCATCCCTCATTTCTTAAACCTCGCAACCGCCGCTGACCAGCGGACCTGTCCTTCAGAACAAATTATTCTAGAAGGACACAAAGGGCCGACTCCCCGGGCCTCTGGGGGGTCCCGCGTGCGCGGGGGTCCCACGGGTGGCCCGGACACCGAGGAAGTCGGGGCTCTGCGGTGTCTTTGCTTTTTTTCCTCCTGACATCCTGGCGGAGAGCCGCCGCCGGGGAGGCGCGAGGGCCGGGCTGGCCGCCGGCCCGCGCCCGGCGGGCTGCGGGCTGCGGGCTCCGGCCCGGGCCCCGGGACACGCCCTGCGCCGCGCGGCCACCTCCCCGCGCCGAGCCCTCAATCTCGGCCCGCCGGGCGGCGGAGGCGCTGGGTGGGGCCCCGGCCTCGGCGCACCGGGCGAGGCCGGGGGAAGGCCGGGAGGCCTCCGGGTCCCACCCGCCACCTCGCGGCTCGAGGGGCGCGGGCGCGGCGCCCCACACCGCCGCCCCGCCCGCCCGGCGCTTCCGGGTCCGCGCGGGCCCGCAGCCGCCGGGCCCCGGCCGCGCCTCGGAGCCCCAGCCCCGCCGAGCCCCGCACTCACAGCCATAGTGCGGCCGGGCCACGCCCAGCCCGTCAACCTCCTCCGCGGTGGACATGGCGGCAGAGCCCCGGTCTCTGGCGAGGAAGCGGCGAGGGCCTGAAGACGCGGGCGACGGCGGCGGAGGCTCCTGCTGAGTGCGCGGGCTGTCGGGGTCCCCGAGGCCCCGCCCACCGTCACCGCCACCAGCCCCACCCTAGCGGCCCCGCCCTGCGGCCCCGCCCTGGCGGGAGTGCGGAAAGGGCGGGGCCGACGACCATGGCCACGCCCCATTCGACCCCTCCCAGCCGCGTTGCACAAGCAGAGGGGGTGGGCCCAGATATGCAGGCTCCGCCCCCATTCTGTCCCGCCCTGGAAGCCCCGCCCAGCCTCGAAGCCCCGAGCGCCGATGGGCTGGGGCCCCGGTTGCAGGCCCCGCCCCCCTCTTCCAGCCCCGCCCTTCAGCCCCTGTTCCGGACAGGCGGAAGGAAGGAGGCGGAGCCGGCTCACCTTCGGGCGCCCGGGCTCTCGGACGCGCTGCCGGAAAGGCCGGTTCCGAGAGCCGTCCCGCGCTCCCGGGCCGCCGCCCCGTCTGCAGTGCCAGCGCCCAGGCTGGCCGTGTGGCAGGCGTGACATCAGAGCCGCAGGCCCTTCAGGTGGGCCCGGTGTTCTCCCCGGACGGCCGACCCGGCAGGAAGTGAGACTCCATCCCCCAGAGCACCGGCCCTGAGCCGGGCGGAGGCCCGCCGGGGACCGCGAGCCTGCGCCGCACTCCCCGGGCCCTCCCGGCAGCGCCTGTGGTCCCTGCCGCCTCGGCCCTCGCGTGGAACACCTTGGGTACCGGAATGCTAGAAGGGCCGGCTCGGTGGGGGAGCGCGCCCAGCACGCGGGAGGCCCTGGGTTCGGTTCCTCAGCACCACATACACTGTGGCTCAAGTGGTAGAGCTCTAGCCTTGAGGAACAGAGCCTAGACCCTGGGTTCAAGCCCCAGGACCGGCAACAAATAAACTCTATAGTACTAGGAACAGGTCCCCGTATCCTGAGTATATGAAGACCTCAGTTCAAACCCCAGCACCACCAAAGAGCAAGTAATGCACCAAATAGCTTAAGTAGCACCGACTCCATGAAGCCTTCCTTGATGGAGGCAGCAGAGCCCTTCTCTGGACCCCTCACACTTTCTTGTACTGAAACTCTAGACTTGTCACATTCATGCCGTACTGTACCCCCAGCACGCAACAGAGGACCTAGAAGTGCCCGGTGTAGCATGGACTGAACCAAGTGAATAAACTGAAGAGATGTAACATGGAGTTGGCATATATTCCTGTTTCTCTGACCTAAGAGCAAGGACAGACTGTGCCTGGGTAACCTCCAGGACGAGATGCTGAAGTTTTATGGCTCAGGTTTCCACCACCTGAGCAGAAATGATAGATTGCAGGGCAAAGCTCTGCTCAGTAGTGAAAGCAAGATGCTGGCCGGGGAATCTCTGGACTGCCACTCAACAATCTGATAGGCAACTGAAATCGGTGGGGTGGCCGTGCCAGGTGGCCGCACCGAGACAGGCCAGCCGCTTCCAGACTGGGCCTCATTGTAGACCAAGAGTCAGAATCTGGGGCAGGAGGCAGGTTATCCCAGGAGAGGAGGCAGGAAAGCCAGGCCGGTGCCAGACACCTGGGAGGGGCTTGAATCGGACACTGAGGGAGACTCTACTGTCTTCTGAGAGGTTTTATCAGCAGGGGAGGAGTACACTGAAATGCGAGGAGCACTCACTTCCCACCCACCGTCAGGGGAAAAATCAGTTCCCGCCCTCTGCACACATGTACTGCAACTGCAACCCCAGAGGAGAAAGAAGTGGGAGCCAAGATGTCTCAGGGGACTCCAGAGGACACAACGGAGTTCATTTGCTTGATGGAGGGGGACCTGGAAATGTCTATGGACAGGGAGTCCACCAAACTCCATCTTTGAAATACCCAGCAAAAAGCAAGGCTGGTGGTATGGCTAAAGTGGTGGAGTGACAGTGTGCCAGTGGAAGGAAAGAAGGAAGGAAGGGAGGGAGAGAAGGAGGAAGGGAGGGAGGGAAAAAGGAGGAAAGAGAAGGAAAGAAAGGATGGAAAGGAGGGGGGAGGGAAGAGAGAGGGAGGAGGGATAGAGAGAGAGACACAGAGAGAAAGAGAGAGAAAACACCAGGTGCAGTAGCTCATGATTATAATCCTAGCCTCTTAGGAGGTAGAGATCACCTCCTATGGATTGTGGTTTGAAGCCAGCCTGCTCAAAAAGTTAGTAAGGCATGGTAATTGGTCAGAGGGGAAAATGTAGGATCCCATCAGAAGAATAACTAAAGCTAAAAGGATTGGAGTCCTGGCACAAATGGAAGAGTACCCAGCATACACAAGGCCCTGATTTCAAGCTCCACTACTACCAAAAAAAAAAAAAAAAAAGTAAGAAAATCTGTGTACTCAGAACACAACATAGAAATTTGGCATCCAACTCTCCTGTTGCAGCCAACCGTCACCCTTTAATTTCTCATTACATCACTGCAGTTCGTATGTCCTTGTCACTTATGCCGTTCTCTTTGGCCTGGTTTTACTTCTATTGTATTTTTATTCCTAGTATATGCAATTTTCTATGTCTTGCCTTTTTAACTCAACATGGAGTTTTTGAGGTTTATCTGTATCGGTACCTAGAAATGGGGTCCATTAGTTATTCTGCATGTATAGTGTTCTATATTAATAAAAAACCAACAATGTGAAGGGGAAACAAAGGAGGAGGCTACAACGCTTGATAAGAAATGTACTCATTGTCTTGCCCATGTAATTGTAACCCCTCTGTACAGTATTTTCACAATAAAAAAATAAAATAAAATAAGATAAATTAAAAAAAAAACCAACGATGTCAGAGATGGGGTCACCAACTTCACAATTTGAACAGGGACCAGTTAAAACTGGTTTGGTAGTTTAAAAATTTTGTCCAGTACTGGTGGTTCACGCCTGTCATCCTAGCTACTCAGGAGTCTGAGGTCTGAGGATCGAAGTTCAAACCCAACCCAGGCAGGAGTCTGTGAAACTTATCTCCAATTAACCACCTAAAAACTGGAAATGGAGCTGTGGCTAAAAGTGGTAGAGCACTGGCCTTGAGCTAAAAAGCTCAGGGACAGTGCCTAGGCCCTTAGTTCAAGCCCCATTACTGGGAGAAAAAAAATGAGTATCTTATAGGACAAAGCCCAAATTTATCACTAATTTGCCCATGGCTGGCTGAAACCACACCTCTCCCTTTACAAAGCTGTCTGCTGGCTTTCTGCACCAAGATAATTCCAAGTCTTCGCATTAAACTCTAGGCTCCTCCTAGGGAAAGATCAGCATGGCTGTCACTGACATTTATGAAGGAAATGTACTGTACCAGGCGCTGCCCACAGTCCAGTCACATCTCATTGGCTCTCATCAGCCCTGGAAGCAGGTAACTGGTTGGCATTAACTTAAAACAGGTGCCCCAACTTAAATCGCTTTTTTTGGGGGGGGGGGGGGATCCGCTGTGGGGCTTGAACTCAGGGCCTGAGCACTGTCCCTGAGCTCTTTTTTGCCCACGGCTAGCACTCCACCACTTCTGAGGTGTAGTGGTACTTCTAGTCTTCTAGTAGTTAACTGGAGATAAGCATCTCAGGGACTTTACTGCCTGGGTTGGCTTTGAAAGTGACAGGTATGAGCCACCAGTGCCCTGCATTAACTGGCTTTTAACACGGAACTCTTTCTCCAGCTCATTCATCTGTGTTCCTGTCGGGTCTCGTGTGGGAGCTGGTTTACAGAAGATTCTCCATGTTTGCCGAGCTGAGCTGAAAGGGAAAGTGAAGGGGCCCGTGGAAAAGTGTCACCGTCATTCAGAAGACAGCTATGGGAATGGGGAAAAAAGAGTGGAACAAGATGTGGCATGCCAGACTCGGAGCTGAGCTGAGTGAGACTGGGGAAGGGATGAACTGAGAGGAGACCGTGTCGAGACAGATGGGAGAAACGGGACACAAGCAAAAAGCAGAAGAGACCCCGGCTACCCCGGAGGTACTGGCCGCATCCCCAGCAGTTTGCAGAAAGACATGGCTGGATGTGCACTGGGAGGGGAGGGGCTGGGTGTACGTGGGAGGTTCTGGGTTGGGAAGCAACCAGTGAGTAGGGAGTGTCTGCCTCAGGGTCCCCGGCTGGGCCAGGAACATGTTCTCACAGATGACGGCTGAAGTCCTCAGATGAGTGTGCAGAAGAAGAAAACATGGCAAAGAGGGGGGAGGAAAATGAAGCTGGGCCCAGGGAGAATTATTTAAGGCAGGCAGAATGACAGTTTTAATGACTCTACATGTTCTGCTGCTGCCCAGCGTTTGCTATGGTATTTGGCAATAATGGCACAGTGGATTGGATGTTGTTGCTAGGTGCTAAGCCCATTTCTTTTTCTTTTCTTTTTTCTTCTTTTTCTTTTGGAGGTTCTAGGGATTGAGCTCAAAGCCTTGCACTGGCAGGTTGTCTCATGAATGGCCCTAAAAGGATAGAAGGGCTGGCACCAGTGGCTCACGCCTGTAACCCTAGTGATTCAGGAGGCTGAGATCTAGGTATTGTAATTTGAGAACAGCTCAGACAGAAAAGTCCACGGAACTATTATTTCCAATTAACTACCGAAAAGCCAAAAATAGACCTACAGTTCAAGAGGTAGAGTGCCAACTTTGAGTGAAAAAAAGCTAAGGGATCTGAGTTCAAGCACCAGTACTAGGGGAGAGGGGAGGAGAGCAGAAAAGAAAAAAGGATGGGAGAATTTCAGTAACTCAAAACTGAAGGCCCTACCTACAATCCCTCTGGTGCGTCAGCTTTAAAATAACAATAAAAATTAAAACAAAAACAAAAGAACCGAAGGACCACAGTGACCCAACCAACTGGAAAATGCCAGCAAGGAGCCCCGCACCACCACCATGCCCCTTCCCAGTGTCCCGTCCCCGCCAGGCAGGCCCTGACCATCAGGAGACATCTGCTATGTGTCAGCCAGCAGCAAATGCAACAGAAGCAGCCCTCACACTACCATGATGCGAGCCTCCGAGATTCTTCCTGCCTCTCGGTCACAAAACCACAGACATCTGCCGGGACCATGCCTCATCACGGCCATGACAGGCTGGTGACTCACACCCGCACAGCACTCCGCGTGTGGGAGCTCTGTCTCATTCCAGCTGGGTGCCC